GATTCCTACCAGCGTAGACGCTTCAATGTTGGTTTGGACTCGGAAAGCTTTGATTGTCCTGTTTTTTATGGGCTTTTTGATTTTTGTCAAACTTCATCTGGTGGCTCAATTGGCGCCGCCGCTAAGCTTAATAGGAATGAAGCTGATATAGCTATCAATTGGGCTGGTGGGTTGCATCATGCAAAGAAAAGTGAAGCTTCTGGATTTTGCTATGTCAATGATATTGTTCTTGGAATTCTAGAACTTCTCAAGGTCCACAAGGTAAATACAAAGTACTCTGTTTTTGTTCTTTTAAGCGTAAAATAATATTCATATTTTATATGTATATGATGAATTTCTTATACGTCTTTGTCTATGATTTTGGGTTTTGCTGATATACTCTGTTTTTATTACTCTGTTTCACTTATTGGATTTGTTCCACAAGTATATATCAAAACTAAAGGGCTGTTTTTTCCCTTGAAAAAGTCGAGCTATTTGTGTGTTATTGAGAATTGTTGCTTACTTGATCGAAGGCTAGGCACTATTTGTTCTTAGGTGTGGGTCTTTTATTTGTTCGTATTGTTGTTGAGTCTGACTTGAATTGGCATTGATGTATATTAAAAAACGAAATTTTGGATGTGCTTCGATCATATGAGTTTGTATGTCTTGAGAATATAGAAAAGGTTTATAGACTGGAAGACATTGTCGATTTCAGTATAATTTAATGAATTGTCTTGTATTATTGTCTGTAAAGAAGTATTACTATATTCTTTTGTGATATTTTATTGTTTGGATGAAGCTAGTAATTTGGAGTCCAAAATACTTAACCGATTTTTTAGAATTAGAACTTAGGTGATCACTTATCAGTCACTGATATGATTTCAATAATTGCGGTTAATTGTGTATAAGTGTGCTTTGTAGGCCATTGCTGGATAACATCTTTTGCTTTGCAAGGAGAACTAACATGCTCATTGTTGTTGTGCAGCGTGTATTGTATGTAGACATTGATGTTCATCACGGGGATGGAGTTGAGGAGGCTTTTTTTACCACTGATCGGGTTATGACAGTGTCTTTCCATAAGTTTGGAGACTTCTTTCCTGGTACAGGGCATATCAAAGACATTGGTGCAAGTACCGGGAAGTACTATGCCTTAAATGCACCATTGGGTAATGGTATTGATGATGAAAGTTTCCGTAGTCTATTCCGTCCTGTAATCCAAAAAGTGATGGAGGTTTATCAACCTGAAGCTGTTGTTGTTCAATGTGGTGCTGATTCACTAGCAGGAGACAGGTTGGGTGTCTTTAACTTGTCTGTTAAAGGCCATGCAGATTGCATTCGATTCCTCAGGTCTTTCAATGTCCCTTTAATGATGTTGGGTGGTGGAGGTTATACCGTTAAAAACGTTGCTCGGTGCTGGTGCTATGAGGTGAATCTCTATTTCTCCCTTTTGGTTCTTTTTCCTGTCTATAGATTTTCACCCTATTACCTTTCACTTGTCTTATAAGTTGTTGTGCTAAGGTTGAAGTTCTTCAATATGTACAGACAGCAGTTGCAGTTGGAGTAGAGCTTGATAATGATTTGCCTTACAATGAGTTTTACGAGTATTTTGCCCCTGATTATATTCTTTATCATGAATCATTACATATGAAGAATGAAAATTCGCCCTCGGAACTAGAGAGGATCAGGTAATTTGAACATCATTCCTTTAGGGCTTGCTTTTAGTGAACTATCAGAAAATACTATCTAATAATATTCGAATCTGTATAATGTAAAAGCTTTTTCATTGTTCAATCTTTTTGAAGTATTAGCGAGTGTGAGATGATGTTATTGAACATGAATAATCGGTGGGTGCAGGAACACTTTGCTGGAGCAACTCTCGCGTTTACCCCATGTACCCAGTGTTCCATTTCAAGTGACACCTTCCGTAACAGAGGTTCCAGAAAAGGTGAGAACTAGTTTATTTTCAAGATCATTTGATTTTCATTATCAATACTGATCCTCATTTAATAATTTAATGTATGCAGGAAGACGAAAACATGGATCAAAGGCCTAAACCAGAGATAAGCCAAGATTACGATACTGACGACGAGGAGAAGTCAAATAACGGAAAGTTCAGTAATTACTACAATCTTTAACAACGAGAACTGACATGAGGTAAGGTCATCAAGTTATCTTCTACAATCCCATGCTGCTAATTCAAACCCACTCCTACTATTTTCCTTTGTAGTTTTAGTTCCTTCAGAAATTATTGTATAATTTGTTTTCCTTGAAACTGAATTGTATTGTGGCTTGTAATGCAGGTTACTTTCGTTACAAAGTCAAAGATGAGGAGATGATTTGATTGGAGGCCTCTGAGACTAAGCTGTTCAACATATGTCTACTAACAAATTTTCTGTTTAGTTAGGATGAGAAATGATAGGAACTCATAGTAACATGTTATTAATAGGCGATGTAATTATAATACACTAGTTCTGGAAAAGTGTCTTGCACGTTTGACCTCTATTACTGTTATAATTTATATAGGTCCAATTCTTGTTGATATAAAACTGCTCAACATTGTCTAAAGTATTCCTATGTATATTTTTGTGCATATAAAATAAATTCTTTTTAATGTTTACTTTCTGTCTAGAATTTAAATATCAATAATTTTTTGGGGGTTGATGAGCAACTTGTAAGGCTAGGACAATATTTTTCCCAATTAGAATTATCGTTCAAAAATTCCGAGTCCCAACGCTAAAGTTTCTTGGGACATAAATACTCCAAACAATCGTTAAAATAAAAAATGAATGAAGGGCACAAAGCAATAAGAAAAATAATGACCAATAAAAAATATTACATGAGAAGTATTACATGATGTTTTTTTCGGACAATCATGAAAATAAAAAATGAATGAAGGCACAAATCAATAAGAAGAATAGTGCGCAATAAAAATAGGGAAAATTGTATATAATAGCAAACTAATAACCTAAAATAAATGGAATAGCTAGGGTTTGATTTAATTGTGCTCCATAGCAAACGTTAGCTAAAATTTGCTAGCGTCTCTCTCCCAGAAATCTCGCTCGCCACTCTCTATTCTCGCTCGCCTCTCTCGCTTTATACATAGAAGATGTGTATAATTTTGTTTCTGTTTTGTATAAAGCGAGAGAAAATTGTATATACACATGCAAAAATATATATCTTCATGTTATACACTTAATTATACAATTTACAATTATTTTATTTCAAATATTGCAGAGGAAATGGTCAACGAATTATACAATTGCAGTGAAATACAATTTTCTCTAGCTTTATACAACAGAAGTGTATATATTGTGTTTTTATTTTTGTATAAAGCGAGAGAAAAAACATATATCTTCTTGTTATACACTTAATTTTGCAGCGAAATAGGTAGTGAATTATATAATTGTGCATTATACAATTGCAGTGAAATAGGATAGAGAATTATACAATTGCAGCGAAATAGGCCAACGAATTATACAATTTAGGCCAGCGAATTATACACTTGTATAAGTATAGCAAATTATACAGTTTTTATATTTGCTACGGAGTACAATTATGCAAAGTTTGCTATAGCATACAAATACGAATTTTTTGTTTGCTATATGTGAAAGTTGCCCATAAAAATATTACATAAGAGCTATTAGATGATGAAACACAAAGTGTAGTGGATTAATATTTTTTATCCAATTTATAAAGGGAGAAATTAAGTGCATGAAAGGTTGTGAATGAATGTGTTTAATGGTAGAAGCTAAAAGGTTTAACAATGAATGTGTTTAATGGTAGAAGCTAAAAAGTTTAACAATCCAATTCATTAAGAAATGGAAAATGATAAGTTATAACATCTAATCATGTATTTGATCTAGTTTAATTGTCATTATTGATTTAATTTTAAAATTCAGTAAAAGATTTTTTAATTTAAAAAATTGGTGAAGGACATTTTTGTAATCTAACTTTGAATTTAAAAACTTTCCACTTATAATAATATACTAGTTTTGAGGAACGTGCGTTGCACGTTACCTCTCAATGACTATAAAATTTCTGAATATTTAAAAAGTATTACCTTACGAAATACAAAATAGTACTCCATCTATCCAACAATTCTTGTCCACTATTTTCTTAATTTTACACCCTTCTTAAGAAACTATATATAGAAGATTAATTTTACTATATATTTATTTGAATATAATAAATATAATGTCTTGAAAAATGTAATAAGGAGATAAATATATGATAAGGATAAATTAGGAACTAAGTATAAAATTATATATTGATTTCATAAAATAGACTAGTATTGTTGGACATCCCAAAAATACTATCAATTATTGTTGGACGAAAGAAAGAAAAATCAAAATGTTACATTCTTGCTCTAAATTTAATAAATGCATGTAAAATACTTAACAAATTTTAAAAAAATAAAATATGATGAGACATATATTATTACAAAACCCCAAATAGAGCACAAATAATAGGAAGCACAAATTTAAAATTAACTTGCACTATCAGATAAAATATTCTTCTTTTCTTAGCCAACCATGCATTTTACGTCAAGATGACACTCCAATGTTTTTATCTTCATAGTCTCTAAAATTCAAAGAGAATAACAATTAATGAAATAAATACAAAAGTTGTAGAATTAGATTGAATGTGTAACACCAAAGTGACAAAAGAAAAAGATAACATTTACATTTCATAAAAATTAAAATACCTCTCAACTCTATAATTTAAATGAATTAAGAATAAATGGTTAATTATGACTAAGAACACGAATGCATACAAATACATAAATAATTTATAATCAACAATTTCTCCTTATCATTTGATGCCTTAACTACCACAAAGTCATATCTTCGAAAAATATTCATCGGACAATAAATTTTAAATTACTATTTTATTATTTTTTTATAAAAAAAATTTAACTACTTTTACATGATAATATGATGATTTAATTTACTTTATTATTCATTAATAGTGTTCGATAAAAAGTCAAAATTTACATTGTATAAACTTGTCGCAACCAGTACCATATCAAATAGATTGTTACTTACCTTTGTTTCTTTGAATCAAATGTGCAATTTGAGCATCAAGTCTGAGAAGTTGGTAAATAGTAAATCTCTTGCAATTATTTGAAAATTCATCAATATCATGAAAAAGAAACCGCAGAGGATATCCACTAAAAGCAATTAGAAATAAAAATGAAAATAAAAATCAAACACAACATCAACACAAATCTGTTTGAAATGTGCTGATGTTCATCCCCTTCAACTCCCTTGTTGCTCAACTCTCAAAGCTGAAGCTTCCAATCTCAAGAACCAAAGAGCTTCACGCTTTCATAATCAAGACTCATCTCTCACAAGACCCATTTTACGCTACAAAAATTATAAGATTCTATGCTCTAAACAACGACATCATCTCTGCACACAAAGTGTTTGATAAAACTCCTCATCGAACCATTTACCTCTGGAACTCCTTAATTCGAGGTTATGCCAGAGCCCACAAGTTTAGAAATGCATTTTCGCTGTTTAATGATATGCTTCATTCTCAAATAATGCCTGATAACTTCACTTATGCATGCCTTGTAAAAGCCAGCTCTGAGAATTTTGATTTGCACAGCTTGAGAGTTTTACATGGAGGGGTTGTTCTATCTGGGTTGCGGTTGGACTTTATCTGTAGTAGTCAACTGGTAAGTGCTTATTCAAGATTAGGCTGTATAGCTGATGCAAGCAAGGTGTTTTCTGGGATAACGGAGCCGGATTTGGTCTTATGGAATTCAATGTTATCAGGTTATGGGGGTCTTGGGGAATTGGAGAAAGGGATAGCGTTGTTTAGTAAAATGCAGATAATGGGGGTGAGGCCTGATGAGTACTCGATGGTAGGCCTGATTATGACTATAGATGATTCTAGTGTGTTGGAAACAGGTGAAGCAATCCATGGATTTTGTTTAAAACTTGGTGTAGAGTCAAATGATCATGTAACCAGTCTTCTTGTTAGTATGTATTCTAGGTGTAAATGTATAGATTCAGCATTTATTGTCTTTGGTAGTCTTGTAGAACCTGATTTAGTTACATGGTCTGCTTTAATAAGCGGTATTTCGCTGTGTGGCGATAGTGTCAATGCCTTGGATTTCTTCAGAGAAATGAATATGAAAGGTGGGAAGGCAGATGCGTCGCTGATTGCCAATGTACTGACTGCTTGTACTCAGTTGGCAAATGTGCAGCCAGGCATTGAGATACATGGTTATGCTTTTCGACATGGATATCACTCGGAAGTTATGGTCTCCTCTGCTCTACTTGACATGTACTCGAAATGTGGGTTCTTGGAATTTGGCTATCAAGTTTATGAGACTATGGTTTTCAAGAATATTGTTTCATACAATTCAATTATTTCAAGTCTTGGTTTACATGGACTTGCATCTCATGCCTTTCAGATATTCGAGAAGGCACTGGAGGAAGGGCACAAACCAGATGAAGCTACATTTTCTGCACTCCTTTGTGCATGTTGTCATGCTGGTCTTGTCAATGACGGACGAGAATATTTTAGAAAAATGAAAGATCACTTTGGCATCTTAGCTAACACTGAACATTATATTTACATGGTAAAGCTTCTTGGAATGGAAGGACAATTAAGAGAAGCTTATGAACTTGTTCAGTCACTGCAAGAACCAATTGACTCCGGCATTTGGGGAGCACTATTATCATGCTGTGATGCTCATCGAAATTATGAGTTGGCAGATATTGTAGCTTGTCGTCTTTTTGGGAATAAGCTAGAGAATAGTAGTTACAGAATTATGCTTTCAAATATGTATGCTAGTGATGGGAGGTGGGATTTGGTAAATAAGTTGAGAGTAGATTCTGAGATAACAAAGTTGAAACTTCCTGGAAAAAGCTGGATTACTAGTAAAAAAACATTCCTTTGAAAGGAACTCTTGAGGTGTCTTCTGTGACATCTTTCACGAGTTAACAGTTGCTGAATCTAGGATCAGAAGCTGTGAGAGGAGGTGGGATCGATCTAATTGTCTTGTCACAAAAGGGAATGTTATCATGTAATTCCATAACAAATGGAAAAGAAGATGAGTTTGACTCATTCTGCACTCAACTTAAATGATTCTAACAAGTATGAAGGTTCATTTCCTCACTTCTGTGTCTTCTTCCACAAAACGTTTTACCATGAATAATCATGACTTCAATCTGTAGTTATCATGTTAAAAACATGATGTCAACAGATGGTGAAGGCATGATAACTAGAACTTACGTAAAGCTAAAACATACAAGAAATAGCTTACGACCTTTGTTGTTCTGGATTTCGTTGATCAGTTATGTATCAGCCCTTAGTAATTGGGTGACAAAGACCTTTTTTCCTTTTAGGTCTCTGTTCTATATGAAAGTTCAATCTGCATGATTTCAAACTGGTGGGCACTTTGACTGCTCAAGAATGGTGACAAATAGTGATCATTTTCATCATGTAAGTTCGAAACAGATGTGCCAATCTTTGTAATTGTCTTCATGGTCACATAAATTTGTCTAATGGGTCGAATGCAGCCATGGAATGTTTAGGTAAAATAGAGTTACTGCTGTTCCGAAAAGACTGCTTTATTTTTCTTACTTTGTACATTGTTGGAACTTGTGTTGAAGCATTTACAATATAATCTGGTGTCTTTGTGGCTTTGAGACCACTGGCTCGTTTGTTACTCTTTACCCTTTAATCAGAAAATCTGTGGATCATCCTAAAGCTACAGTTAAAGTTAGGTGAACGTCTATTACTTCCCTCGTTTCAGCGTAAGTTTATGATTACGTGTTGTCACTAGAATGAATACTCAACTGTGAATGACAATTAAACTTTTCCCACCTTCTCTTCAATTGTTCGCAAAAATATCTCTGCTGTTACCAAAGTTTTTATTAAGGATACTTGGAATTCTCAACTTTGCTGCATGAATATTATTCTCCCTGGATGAAAAATGAAAGGGAGAAAAAAAGAAAACAGAAATCATCTTTTTAGTGTTTCTGATTTAATAAGTATCTTGTACAGGTTGTTGTAATGTCTCACTAAATATTGTTTATTTGGAGTGTGGACTAAATCTTAGCTGTTGCATAGTATGGAGGAAATAATTCCTTTCAACGGATTGTGCATATATAGGTTTGGAAGAATAATCATCTTGCTAATAGCGCTGCATCATGTGTAACGTGCTATGAAATGCTTAAGAATAGTTGTAGGTTTTCATAATTTGAACAAGTATGTGCGCTATTGATATTGACATCTTTTAAACCACTAACATAAGTCATCGAAAAATGTCTCTAACATGAGGCAAGAAGTACATTGTCTGCAGGCTCGGTTCTCCTCGGTGCAGTCATCTTGTGTTTCATAGTCCTCTATAAGAAGTAGTAGAGTTGTGTTTGCAAGCTTCAAAGTCTCTGAAGGACAGGCAATTTTTTTTCTTTTTCTAAATATGATATGATAAATTGTGGTATCCACTGAAATTTCTCAGGCCAAACATTAAACAAGGCATTTATAAGTAGCGATATTTAACTTAAAGAGCCGGACAGTGGAATAAGTAGGAGTTGAAATGTTAGAAGTCATATTCAGGACTGATTCTCGCCATCAGTGCATATAGTGTATGAAAAACGACCTTTTTCCTGAACCATTGTGTTCTAATCACCGCATCTTGATTCCTGTTATATCCTATCAATTAAGCTCAATCACAAACTAGTTGATCCTTCCACGTTTTATTGCCACAAAATTTGAACAATATATTATGCATTTGCAAATAGTCTGTGGGAGTCTTTTGGTGTGTGTAATCCACCCCATTGTCAATTGCGGTAGCTACATCTTTGGTGGGCATTCTCAGTCGTTTCCATGGCAGTCTGTTAAATCTTCGCTAAACTTTATTTATGTTCATTGAACTTTTGAAATTTATTAAGATTCAAGTATTTGAAATGCATTTTTCTTCAAGTTTCTATACTTGCTAAAGGAGGCCAAGAGTGCTAGTATATGATATGGGTGTGTAAGCTATTTGATATAGTTAAAGCAGGCTGTCATTTTTATTAATGATCAGTTTCTCAGTCAATATTGGAATCCTTACCCCTAGATGCAATTTTAGTGTTCTAACTGATTGCTATCTAAGTGTTGCATACAATCATTTTCTCTAAGGTTTTAGAACTCTTCTAAAATGCATACTTTTAAATGTGTTAAAGGCGCATAAGCTGATATATAGAAACAGTTCTCTTAGATACCGTTATTTCAGCGTCAATGGCACTTATGAATCACTTTGCTAGTTGCATCACTAACACACTTATCTCTCATTTTGCGGTAGGGACTTGATGTTTGGAGGCTTGAAGAAATCCTGGATCATAAATTCAGTTGCCCGACAAATCTGCTACTTCAAGTGAAAGGTATCACAGGTTAGAAACAGCTCTCCTGCATAAGCAGGATGATAGCTAGTGGCTTCTGTTTGTTCGTTGTTATCTTTGTGCGACAAATTGGTTGCTTCTAAAAGACCGAAATTATTTATAATAAGGAAAAGAAGAAAACATTATGGCAACACAAAGCATCAAAGCTGAAGTTAGTATTTGGTATTGTACTTATCCTTCTGCAAAGTGATAACTATGCTGCTTGTGATGAGATCCTTGTAACAGCCTCTTTCTTGAACGCTGGAAGACAACAAGTTATAAGAATTATCAGTATGCAAGCACGTAGCATTTAATTAAAAAATCTTGAAGTCCAATTAGAAGTTTTATTGCCTCAGAAATATCGAATTTGTCAAAGGAAAATGCCCTAAACTGTCAAATTGTGTTAAGCATTTACTATTTGTCTATTTCTTTCCCTTTCCACTTTTGTAAGTTGTTACTGCTTTACTAAATGGTTGTACTTATCAAATGCTCTTTTTACTGATTTCTTTTTATGTCAGTTACTGGAGAAGTATAGCTGTAAAGGCTTCTCCATCATGTTCTTTTTGTACTGGATTTGCACTTAAGTTTGCTTCTCTACAACGCTGGAAACATTCCATCTTTGTCTCAAGTAGGATGATGAATTACTGATGATTGGGAGGAAACTTGCAATTGCATGCTCACGCACACACTCTTGATTCGGGTTACTGAATATTTATCACTCAAATGAAGCTATTATAGAACATCATATCATTTTTCTTTCTTGTGCTGTTGAGATTGTTGACATAGGTCTTCACGTTACTTTAACTTTCTGAGGCGAAACAGGTGTTGTGAGCTTCTAATCAAATGGTTGGACTGAAATCAGCCCCTAGTTTAACTATCAGTAGGGTCATTTGTGTTTTTTCCTCATCTGTTTCCTTTTTTGGAAGTTACTGTTTGATTAGTTAATGCATACTTTACTTTATGTTAAAATTGATTGATGAACCAAAATAATCTGGAAGAGATTGCATGATTGTTGAGAACAGAAATATTCCTTTTTTTTTGTTTATTTCTAGGATTCAGAACCTGTAGAGTGCTAGAGTCTTGAACTCCTATATGGCACTTGAGAACAACCTTGACCATGAGGCTCTGAACTGAGTTAAGAATAGGTAAAATGACTAGCTGGAGAGGCTACTTCTTAGGCTAATGTATTCACTATGTGACTTACAAGTAAGTTAGGCAAAATAATACTCTACTACATAGGTTAGGTTATTGCTTTGCCAAAAACAAATTTAGTAACCTTAGGATGTAGACCTTATGTGTCCTTTTCATCTTCCTTTTGCCCTTTAATTTGAGCTGTAAAAACAGTTTGGGTTATGTTAGGACTTGGGAATAGCACGTTGCAATTATCGATCAGTAGGCAGCTACACATAGGAAGTGGGGGCTCTGTCTCCCAGCTAACCATTGTTTTCGCGGTGGACTTCATTTGGTGGACAAGGAAGTAGGTTGAGATCATGAGGTTGAGGTCTTAAGTGGTATAAAAACATTAGGTGATTACCTTTTTTTCATCGCTCCAAACCTTGGTGGATAGAACTACTCGGTCTGATACTTAGGTATGTATGTAGTTGTTCACACTCTCTTTTTCATGTAGCTACACTAGCCATGTTCCATGACTAAAGCCTACTGAATTATTAGGCTAGCCAAACAAGTTTCACTGTGTGTAAAGCCTATATCTTCAATATTCCAACTAGGAAATTATTATGCTTGAGTCCTTTATTGTGTTTTACTTGAAAAGAGAACTGTGTGCCTTGACATTGTGAAAAAGTATGAACTGTTGATGATGTTCCTAACTCTCATATCTTGACTCTAACTTTTTATAACTTAATGCATAATTAAGATATTATCTTACTTGTGGAAGATAGAAAGTACTCTCGTAGAATAGTTAAAGATGTGTTTAAGCTGATTCTGATACCATCTATCGTTGAGAAAAAAGTGAGCATAATTAAAGATTTATCCTACATCAAAATAATACTTTTTTTTTTTTGTATAAAAATACACATTAAAAAATCAATTGACTTATATTTGTGAATTGGTGGGACAACCAATCAACTAAACTACCTACTGTTTTTTTTTATTATTATTTTGAAGGATAACGTAGAAAATTGTTCATCATATCTATGCAATCTAGAAGTGTCATTTCTTGATTGAAAACGTTTTCTTGTTATTTAATCTGTGTCTCTATTCAATCATATAAGATGAATCTAATAATTCTCATAATGATTATTTGTTCATCATCACTCCCTTTGTATTAAAAAATGTACTAGAATTTTGGCTTGTGGAATTATCCACCCACAAATATATATTGAGGAAAAAAAAATAGCCAAAAGCAAATCTTATTAATCCACTATAGTTTCAACATTCGACATTATCTAATAGCTTTGATCGGAGTCATGTATATCCTAATTCCGATGTTAGGGAATTTAGTGAATCTATATACAAAATTCAGTTAGTAGCACTTAAAGTAATCGTGAATTGAAATAACATATTAGCCTCTAAATTATATTCAGAATCACACATAATTATGTATGATAATCTTAGGTATCAATGAATCGGCTACTAAGAACCAACCTAATGTAAATGTACTTTTCGAGCAAGAAAATTAGCAAACTTTTTTTCCTTAATTAAAAAAAAAGAGCTTTATAATTAATATTAAACATGGAAAGAGAAAAAGTTAAGTGGCCCCTCATTTTTGATTTTGTTCTGAATACTTGTAATCTCTACCAAGAAGACTTAAAAAAATTAATTATCATCGAATTGATTCGGATTTAGAAGGTTATATTAATGTTCAAGGGTTGACTAACCTTAGTTAATTGTCCACTAAATTAAAGATTAGGGAGAACAATTGTTTAGAACAAGTCACATGCAATAGATGCTAAGCAAAGTATAATGCGGCTAACAACTTAGATTATTTAGCAAATAAAAGATAGATCTGTGATTAATAAAATGTATTTGTACAAAACAAGTCTCTTTTTTGGATATTAATAACCAATGATTATAGTTATGATGGCAGCCCACTATAGGGTGATTTATTACAAAGAATATTACGCTATCTAAATTGCCTTTATTTATGACTACTTTATTTAATTTAATATTTCCATTCACTCACGAAATAGTTAAGTTATGAATTTTAAAGCAATATAAACGCCCCGATATACACTAAACTACACATTCACACTTTTTTTTAAAAAGAAAATCACTTTTAATTATATCGAAATAGAGGGAGGGAAAATGTCAACGTTTAGATAGTCAATTAATTAGATCAGTAAGATTTCCAATCCCCCCACCCCCACCCTCCTCCCAAAAAAAAGTTTATATACATTTTATATATAGTTTCGTCAATCTTTTTAGCTATATTCACACTTTTAACAATTTTACTTTCGAAATCTAAGTTTCATGTGGTCCATGATTCACTGGTCAAACTAAGTTCCATGTGGTCCATGATTCATTGATCAAATTAGGTTCTATGTGGTCTATGATTATGCTAATCAAACTAAGTTTTCCTTGATCCACGATTCACTGGTCAAATCAAGTTCCACGTGGCTCATTAACACGATCCACGTGGACAAACATTTATATGGCATTATAGCCTAGAGCTAACTTCTTTTTATGCGTGTGTATCTCCAAACTATCTTTGATATGGTAAAAATAATAAATCGAGTCTCGCATCATCACTCCATCAATTGATTCAACTCTTTACATAATATGATATTATCTTCAAATTATCTTTGATATGGTAAAAATAATACACCGAGCCTCAAAGCATCAGTCCACCAATTTGTCCAACTCTTTACATGATATGATATCATTTCTAAACTATTTTTAATATGGTAAAAATAATAAATCCAATCTCGCACCATCACTCCACCAATTGGTCCAACTCTTTACCTCATATGATATTATCTATTTTAGGCCAAGAACCAACAGATTTTTTCTAAAAAACTTATATAACACATATAATTTTTCAATTATCGATATAAATCTTTATTCAGATTTCCAATAAAATAAACATTCAAAGATAAGTATACAATAGTAAATTATATGGAGAGGACAAACAAAACTACAAAAGGAGTACTGGATGATTTGAGGACTTCACTTATATATCAATCAGTTGATAAGAATTTAATAATAAAATATTGTATTCAGCAATTTTCTTGTGCATATCACTTTCATCTCTGAACAAATTGATGTTTGTACTGTTTGGTGGATTAGTAGGGTCCTTTCTTAACACTCAAAATTGGAAAATGAAAAAAATTATTCTGTTTGAGGCACAAATACTGTTTGGGCTGCCATTTGTATTTTCCTTTTATTGCTTGTTAACTCTTATTTTGATTTTATTAAAGAAACATGAGGAAAAATTAATGTAATATGTCAAAAAAAAATTAATTTAATTTTTTGATGAATTTTTCGAAGAAATTTAACATTGTGAAATTTTAAAAAATAGATTAAACTCTAACCAACAAAGTAAATATTCATGTATTTAACTGATTGATCTACTAAAATTCAAACGGTATTATTTATTACAAAATACACAATTTATTTAGATTATTTAAATTTTAGTCATTAATTTATTTTTTTGAGATTTCAGTTTTAATTATTCAATTCTTAATTGTAAAATATATTTTTATTTTATTTATTGTATAACCACTTGATGAATTTGAATTATTAATATTAATAATTATGTTTAATGTTATAAAATACTCAATTATCTTTTCTTTTCTTTATCAAATTCTCTACTTCTATGGCATGTATTGTATATATAATCATTGCCGGTATTAATTTTGTGTTTCTCATTCAAGATATTTTTTTGATTTTTCTTATATTTAGTGTCTTAAAATATGTGAAACGAAATTGATATAAATTTATCTTTTTTGTGAGTGACAAGAATTAATAAAAAAAAAAGTCAACCAAATAAATTTATAAAAACACAAGATAATAGTGGTATGAATATATTTTTTTTTTCCAGAAAGAGCTAGAACTATTAAAAAAAACTTTAGAAATATTGGTAAAAAAAAAGTGCAAAATATAAAATAGAAAATGGATTTTTGCAAAGTAAAAAAAATGCAATTGAAGAAAGGACTAAAAATTGAGAAATGGAAGTGTGTGAGAGAGAAAGTGTAACAATTAGAAAAATAACATTTGTCAAAAGAAAATGACGCCTTCATATAACTAGCACCATAAAAATTATCTGAACTGTTCTACTCTCTTCGTTTTAATTTATATGATATTTAATTGAATGTAAAATATTTTTTTTTTCGAAAAAATAGAAGTGGAAACTGTATAGGGCGGTCCAAAGGAACATTTAGTTTAGTGTTGACAGGTTAAAGTTAGACGTGGAAAAGAAGCAATGAAAAAGAGCAGTTGAAAAAATGGCAGAAGGATTGGATATGACTATTTGAGTGAATGACTGAATCTTTGTTTCTTTTAGGTTGGATTTCCCTTTCTTTTCACACA